GCACGACTACTTCGATAAGGCCAGCAGTGCTATACCCCAACTAAAGGTACCGGTACCCAAAGCATATTGTCACATCTGCCCCCCATTCAAAGGTCCAAGACTGTCGTTTTTCGAAACGGTGCTCCAGGACAGAGGGAGAATATTTTTTTTAAGTGACAAATATGAAACGTGCCTCTTTCCATCTCAGAGTCGCAGTGGGCGAATAAATATGTCTTAAATCTCAAAACTTTCTTGATTTTGTAGGTTCCCTCGAATAGCAACATGAGCTTTTTGGTCTCCTGAAGGACCGCGTACGAAGTTGAGTTAGCCTTAAGAAGCACTAATTCACCTTATGTGAACTGCTGGTAAGGCCTCGAAGGAAAACGAGCTGCACCTCTCTCTGCCCGTTTCTGCAAATTTTCCCTGGCAAAGAATAATTCAACATGAGAGTTACAAAGTATCTGTTCACCTATCAAAAATTCTCCGAGTGGAGAAATATCTCGAGTCCCGAAGTGAAGTTCCACGGGAGAAAATTCAGTCGATTCATGTGTCACGTTGTTCAGAAACCTAATCACATTAGGGATCTCGAACGCCCATCGAGAATGCTGATGGTGACAATAACTTCTCAAGATTCTTCCCAATTCTCGCTAGTCCTTTCCACAGGGTAACCCTGGGGGTGCCGTAATCACTTTCAAACCATGGTTCCTGTAAAGTGTTCTTCCATCTTTGCGAAGTCATTTGTGTTCCTTGGTCGCTCAAAATTCGAGACGGTTCACCCACCTGTACAAAATAGTGCATGGTTAGCCGATTCAACATGCTAGCCGTTGTAGCCTGTTTCAAGCAATAAAAAATCACCAGCTTTCTAGAATAACAAAGACGAAAGTCACACCACCTCTGGATTTTGGGAGGGGACCGAAAAGGTCGATCGAAATAAAGTCATTTGGCTTTTCCGAAAATACCGCCTTTAAAGCGGGCCTGGGCAATACTGTAATCTTGGTTTTTTGGCATACTTCGCAGCCTTTGATAATACGTTTGACGTATTGTTCTGACAATTGTTCTGAATTCGTATAAATTTCTTGAGGTTCATTGGCGGTAGATTCGGATACAACAGAGTGTTCCATTTCAAAAATCAAAGTTGCTACCGCTTTCTAATAGAAGCGGCAACACCGCATTGTCGAAAATATTTTAGTTGGCTAGAGAATGTCCGAATATGCCCTCCATTAAATTTTTAAAGTGATCCGTTGTCTGGTTCACCAGAAACGTCTAATGTGCCATCCACCGTAAATCAGCCTGTATACCCCTTTCAATTTAAACAAGATTTGTTTAGCTGGGATTAAATGAAATAAGCGAATGAATGTCATTACATACTGTCATCGATGACATGAGAAGATTTATTTCATTCGTGACATACAGTCATAATTTCATAAATGAATTGAGGTGCGAACGGGAGTTGTCGTGAAGCAGGATCTCGGACATCTTCTGTTGACCAGTGCTGGCTGCTGCTTACGCAATTTCCAGTACATTTCGTCGATATCCTCAGAATAGGACCTCGCTGTGATGGTTTGCAGAAAGTTGTAGTTTCCTCCAGTTATCACCCGAATATGATTGTAGATACTAACAACCGAAACATCGTGGAGTACTTTGATTTTAAATTTTTTTCTTATTTTTCGTTTTTTTTTTTAATATTTTTCATCATTCTTAATTTTCTTCACTTTTATTGTTTGCATATAATTGACTTTTCACTTATTGTTTACCCCATTTGTTAGTTCATTCTAATTTAATTATAATTGGTGTCCTCTCCAGATTTTCTAATTTTTTATTTATTGTCCCTTTTTTATTGTTGATATTAGCTCCTTCTTCAACTCACTCTAATAGTTGGATCGTATTATTTTTATAACAATTGAAATTCAAATTGTCACAGTGTACGAAGTTCCAGAGGCACTTTGAATGTCATTAATTCACCAAAATGAAAGATATCAAAGATATCTTTAATGAAGATAATAAAGATATCTTCATTTTTCTGATTGATTCGGCCATTTCTTAATGAAGATACTTAGAAATTTCATAAACTGCACCTCGCGATTTGAACTCCACAAACTTTATTTAAAAAATATATCACATGTTTCGCTAACATAGAAGCTTCTTCAACAGAGTATTCAAATCACTGTTGAAGAAGCTACTGTGTTACAAGCCACAAATAAAGTTTGTGGAGATCAAATCGTGAGGTGTAGTTTATGAAATATCTTCATTTCTCCAGTATCTTCCAAACTAGATTAGGTTAGGTTAGGTCTAAAGTGAGTGGGTCTATTCGACCCTCCACCGCAACCCGCAACGGTTTATTGTGGCTCACAACTATTCACACTCGGCCAAATAAACCCAGCTTCTTAACGAATCCGATTAGTATGTATGGTGAGTGGTCTTTCAGGTCAGATGGTAAGGGTACGGCTCTGCCGAACTCTAACAACCTGATTCAGTCTCCAGCGGGGCAGGCACAAAGTATATGTTCTGCTGTTTCATCAATTTCCAACCACACTGTCTTCCGACAGTCCAAGTCTCTGCATATGATAATTCAAATGATAGTGATCTGTAAGAAGGCCTGTTAGACATCGTAGTTCATCCCTACTGTAGTCCAACATCTGTTTGGTATCAAGCTTCGAAGGGCGAATAAACGCCTTGGAGTGAACCAATCCTGGAAGATTCTGCCAGAAGTCCATACATCTTCTTGCTATCCAGGGGTTCAAAGTTTGTTTGGCAAAGCCTAAAGCGATGTCACTGACAGGTTCTGGTCCGATGAAGCTGCTTGCAGCAACCTCCTTTCCAAGGGAGTTAGCAGCTTCGTTGTCTTCCAGGCCAGTATGGCCAGAAATCCAGACCATAGACAATCTGTTAAGTCTTCCTATCGAGGAGAGTCGTTTTTTGGCAATTTGCTTCCAATTCAGACGTTGCTCGGTAGGAGCCAAGAGCTTTTAACGCTTTACTATCCTAGAATATTTTTATTCACTTGTGTATGAGGTTGGATTCTTCCAATCTCTCCGCACACACTCCAATAGCATAAATTTCAGCTTGAAATACAATCACATAGGTTCCTAGGCAGGTTGATATCTCTGTCCTGGGTCTGCGACTAGAAACACTTGCACCAGAACCGGAAGGTGTTTTTGATCCATCTGTGAACCAACAACTATCTGCTCTTAATATTTCCTTCTCCCGGAGGATCAAGTCCTCTCTACTCGGGTTCTTCGAAACTATAGTCTATTTCAAAAGAGTGTAGAGTAATAAATCATGAAGTGTCATAAAATTTGCCTGAATTTCGTTGTCGTCCATGGGCGTAGGCAAATCTTAGGATTATTAAACTTAATAATTAAAGTAAATTAAAAATTACAGACATAGATAATAATAAAAGGCCATTTTTGGGAAGTAATTTGGTCTAAAACTAAGTACCTACATGTATTTAGGTAAGTAAAATTTCTTAAAAAAAGATTAAGATTAATTTTAGTGGTTCTTGTAAACTTATTTAATATGCAATTTGGGTTCATATACTTGAGCATGATTTCTCAAAAAAGGGTTAACACTTAGTTCCGAGGTGCCATGTCATTATAATAATCCCTTTTTGACCCTGCCCACCAATCATGCAATACCTATTAAAC